GACCCACTGACCTGAGGACCAAAATGACAAATGACAAACTGACTTTGGCTTCATCCCCCCTCACTTCACCTAGAAGGAAAGGAGACTAGGACAATATAGTGAGAAGGACAGATGCACTGGGCCCCAGCACACTTGGGTTTGAAGGCTGCTTCTGCTGTTTACTAGCTGTGTGACTCTGGGAAGGTCTCTGAACCTCTGAGCTGCTTCCCTCTTGGAGGGGCGTGGCGGTGTGTGCTAACTGGCCAAAATGATGCCTGCAGCATAATTAGGACTCCATAAGTCATCCTGTATTTCATTGAATCTGACATGCCACTCAAGTGAAGAGGTACCTTTACTTTAGCTCCTCTAAGAAAGGAAAATGGCTGCCAAATAAACTGACCTGCCATTAGTTGTAAGATGCACCCAGATTTCAGAAATAACAAAATGTATTACCAAAAGAAGTACATCTTAGGATAGATGAAATGCAGTAATTCTCTTTTTTCTGATTCATGGTTTTTATGCTTCTGGGGCTCTGCCTCTGGAAGATAGCAGGGTACAATGACTGACTGAGGTAGCCCCACTCCAGAAGTCGGCTCTGCCCTGGCACTGCTGCTTCGTCCTTTGGCACATGCTGCTGCCCCTGGGTGGCTTGTGCTTGAGGGTCTCAGCTTTGCCTGTGGTTTCCAGCTTCTCTCAAGGTCTGTTTGAGTCCACAAGCCTTTCTGAGGCCCAGGAAGCCATTTTATTTCTTTCTTGTTTTTTTTTTTTTTTTTTTTTGAGATGGAATCTTGCTCTGTTGCCCAGGCTGGAGTGTAGTGGTGTGATCTTGGCTCACTGGAACCTCCGCCTCCTGAGTTCAAGCAATTATCCTGCCTCAGCATCCCCAGTAGCTGGGACTATAGGCACACACCACCATACCTGGCTAATTTTTGTATTTTTAGTAGAGATGGGGTTTTGCCATGTTGCCCAGGCTGGTCTCAAACACCTGACCTCAAGTGATCTGCCTGCCTCAACCTCCCAAAGTGCTGGGATTATAGGCCTGAGCCACTGCACCCAGCCCAGGAAAGCATTTTCGATTTCTCTGCAGTTCCTGCAGGCAGAGCTGAGCAACAATAGATGTGCAGAGTCTGCCACTAGCCCTCTGCTCTTAGAAGGGAGGAAGTGAAAGTGAACAGGCCATGCATGAGGACAAATGTGCCCATTCCTTACCTTGCCATGAGGCCTGTTATATGCTGGCAGCTTTCCAGGTGAATTCTCTCCACCCCAGGACCTGGGAGGGAAGCAGGGCAACCCTTGGGCTCCCTCTGCTGCAGATGAGGAAACAGAGTTAGCAGAGGCTAGGTGATTTGAGAGCATCGCCTGCCTCGTAAGTGCCTGGTGAGATCCCAGGTATATCTTATGAGCTGCTTTTCCTGTAGTGAGCAGTTGATGGATGTAAGAAAGACATGGTGATGCTGTGCAGGTGAGGCAGGGACTGGAACACAGTGCTGGGCGTGTTCCAGGGATGCTTTGGTTGGGCCAAAGCCTAGACCTGCACTAGTGTGTTTATATATATAAATTTGTAAAATAAATTAAATCTTTGATATATTGTGTTGAATAACATATTTCAAACTTAATTTCACCTGGCTAGGTGTGGTAGCTCACGTCTGCAATCTCAGCACTTTGGGAAGCCAAGAAAGGTGGATCACTTGAGGTCAAGAGTTCGAGACCAGGCAAGCCAATACAGCAAAACCGCCATCTCTACTAAAAATACAAAAATTAGCCAGGCATGGTGGTGTGTGCCTGTAGTCCCAGCTACTAGGGAGGGAGGAGAATCACTTGAAACCAGGAGGCGGAGGTTGTAGTGAGCCAAAATGGCACCACTGCAGTTCAGCACTCTGTCTGAACTCCAGACAGAGTGAGACCCTGCCTCAAAAAAACCAAACAAACATTTTTTTCACTTGTTTTTTTCCTCATTTGATGTTACTAGAAAATTTCAAACTATATATGTATCTTGCAGCATATAAATTTCTGCCCCACAATGTCCCCCACCACCCCATCCCCTGCTTTTCTCCAGCCTCAGTCTTTCTGAGTCCACCCTGTCCCTAAACAGTGGAGTGACAGCCTGCTGGCTGCTTTCCACTGTACCTGTGGGGCCCTGGGAAAGTCTGGATCTGCAGTGGCTCAGGTGCCCGAGTGCTTCTGGGAGCTCTGGGCCACGGCTATTGGCCTCCCGAGTCTCCCAGCTCTCCAGAGGCCTGTGGGCCTATTTGACTTCCCCTGGCTACTACCTGTAGAGGTCAGGATAGAATGAAGCAGGCTCCCTCCACCGTGGTAGGGCCCCAGTCCTGACCATGTGTGCCCCAGGCACTAAAGCATGGCGGGAGCGGGGGGGTGTCTCTGAACTTTTTGTCCACCCAGCTATGGCCTGTGCTTGGGCTTTCCCATCAGTTTTGTCCTATCTAGCGTTTTCCTTTATTTTATTTTGTTTGTGTTTTGTTTTGAGACAGGGTCTCACTCTGTTGCCTAGGCTAGAATGCAGTGATGATCACAGCTCACTGCAGCCTTGACCTCTTGGGCTCAAAAGAGCATCTTGTCTCAGTAGCTGGGACTATAGATGCAAGCCACCACTACAAAAAAATGTCTGTAGAGATGGGGATCTTCGTATGTTTCCCAGGCTGGTCTCAAACTCCTGGCCTCAAGTGGCCCTCCTACCTCAGCTTCCCAAAGTGCTGGGATTATAGGCATGAGCCACCATGCCCGGCTCTATTTTCCTTTAATATACAACACATGAATGTACTTACTTTTTGCCACACTTTTAAAGTAAGGCTGATGGCTATGAATCAGAAATTTGTTTCCAAAAATTTGTTGTTGCTGTCGTTTTGAGATATCCTGGCTAAATGGTTGATAGTTGTGGGTTGCTTTTTTTTTTTTTTTCCTGTATGTAAGTTATATTTACATTTTAGATTGGGTGCAGTGGCTCATGCCTGCAATCTCAGCACTTTGGGAGGCTGAAGTAAGAGGACTGCTTGAAGCCAGGAGTTTGAGACTAGTCCGGCCAACGTAGTGAGACCTTACCTCTACCAAAAATAAAAATCAGCCTGGCGTGTGGCAGCACCTGCAGCCCCAGCTACTTGGGAGGCTGAGGTGAGAGGATCCCTGGAGCCCAGGAGGTCAAGACTACAGTGAGCCATAACTACACACTGCACTCCAGCCTGAGTTACAAAGTGAGACCCTGTCTCTAAAAAATAAAAAGTTTAAAGAGTTATATTTGCATTTCAAAACCTATTGATCCATTCAAGGACTCCCAGTTTATTCTGAAACCCTGACTGTGCCATCTGGACGACTAGAAAAGTGGTTTTCTTTGGCAAATGTACCATAGCCCTTCTTTTCTCCCTGCTAATGGAAGAGGATGGGTTTTGGAATCAGACCTGATTTTCAGCTCTGGCTTTGGCACTAACTCTCCGGGAGACAGTCGATAAGCAAGTGTCCTAGCCTCAGTTTTCTATAGGTAAAAGGGAGAAAGTACCTGTCTCATTGTGAGCATGAAGTGAAATAATATGTATAAAGTGCCTAGTAGCATGCTTTGAGCTTAGCAGGTATTGTATTTAATAAATGTGACACAGGCCAGGTGTGGTGGCTCTCACCTGTAATCCCAGCACTTTGGGATGCCGAGGCAGGTGGATCACCTGAGGTCAGGAGTTCGAGACCAGCCTGGCCAACATGACGAAACCCTGTCTCTACTAAAAATATAAAAATTAGCTGGTCGTGGTGGTGGGTGTCTGTAATCCCAGCTACTCGGGATGCCGAGGCAGGAGAGTTGCTTGAGCCCAAGAGAAGGAGGTTGTAGTGAGCTGAAATTGTGCCACTGCACTCCAGCCTGGGTGACAGAGTGAGAATCTTGTCTCAAAAAATATAAGTAAATAAATATGACTACAGAGACTGCTGCTTCTATGACTCCAAGAATGTCGCCTCCATTGCATGAGTATTGGCTGTACCTCTTATACCTGAGGTACGGGAGTTTGAGACCAGCTTGGCCCACAATCCATCTAACTGGTAATGACCTTTATGGAGACGGCATTGGCAACCTGCTTCCGGAGCATTGAGATATGTCTGTCCTTTGGTATTAAAGATAGTCCAGCTCCAGAAGCAACTCCAGGAAAGCTGTTAGAGATGTGCACAAAGACATGTTTAGGGGTGTCTGTAGCACTATTTATAAAGTAAATCTCAGGAAGCAACTAACAAGAGAGATTGGTTAAATAAATTAGAAAATGACGATAGGATGTACTATCATGTTCTTGAATAATATTTTAAGGACATGGGAAAGTTTGCATGATATGGGAATTGATGGGAAAAAAGAGAATACACAATTATTTGTAGTGGGTTAATAACACTGTAAACCAGAAAACTTTGTACACATAGGAATTGGCTGAAAATACACCAACATGTTAGCAGTTGCTGTAACTGGGTGAGGTTACAGGGGATTGTTGTTTTCTTCTTTTTAATGTTTTTCTCTATTTTAAAACTTCCATAACAAACAGCTATTATTTTATCAGCAGTAAAAAAAAAAACACCACTGTGTGTGTGTTTATTCCAGGTCTTATCATCATGGAAGAAATGTTTTCTTTAAATTCTATTTATAAGGAGGTAAGTTCCTTGTGTATAAAGCCTATGCCTTTTGGTGAAGAAAAAAATTCCTCGTTTCCTCAAGTTGTTAAAATATTAAAGGCATTTTTTATTCTATTTAAATTCCTGGGTCAATTGCTGCTGTGGAAACTATTGTAATGGATAATCTATAAAAGGATAAATGCAACTATTAAAAATTACTGAATGTACATGCTATGGTAAAAAAATATATATTGTACAGTGTATGTAATAAACCTCTCCCCTCCCCAAGAAATAATCACTATTAAGTTTCTCACATATTCTTCCAGAAGGTTACCATGCACACACCAACCTATATGTGTATTTTTATTTAGTTTTATAGAAGAGAATAAGTTATATCTTTTATAGTCTTTAAAAAACATTTTATTAATGTATAATTCACATACGATACAATTCCCTCATTTAAAGAGTACAGTTCAGTGACTTTTGTTTTTCTCTTTATGTGTGTGTGAGATGGTCACAGAGGAGGTCTCACTCTGTTGCCCAGGCTCAAATGTAGTGGCATGACCTCAGCTCACTGCAGCCTCAACCTCCCAAGTTCAAGCAATCCTCTCACCTCAGCCTCCCTAGTAGCTGGGACTACAGCCATGCGCCACCATGCCTGGCCAATTTTTATATTTTTTGTAGAGATGAGTTTCACCATGTTTCCCAGGCTGGTCTCAAACTCTTGAGCTTAAGCAATATGCCTGCCTCGGCCTACCAAAGTGCTGGGATTACAGGCGTGAGCCACTGTGCCCAGTTTAGCTCAGTGATTTTTAAGGTAAATTTATAGAGTTGTACAACCATCACCACGGTCCAGACACTCACCATGGTGCTTTCTCACCATGTTGCTTCAACATTGCTTCTTGAAGATGGCTCTGCATAAGTGGGTATGGATCTCTCTCATTGTTTTCAGTGGTATGCCGGGTTTTCCATCACATGGATGGACCATCGTTTATATGGATATATCTATATCTATCCAAAAGAAAGGAAATCAGTAAATTGAAGAGATATTTGCACTCCTGTTTATTGCAGCACTATTCATGATGGCCAAGATATGGAATCAATGTAAGTGCCATCAATGGATGAATAAAGAAAGAAAATGTGACATATATACACAATGAAATATTATTCAGCTATAAAAAAATGATAAAAATCCTATCATTTGCAGCAACATGGATGGAATGGAGATCAACATATTACGTGAAATAAGCCAGGCACCGAAAGACAAATGCCACATAATTTCACTCATGTGGAAGCTAAAAACAAAAGTGGATCTCATGGAGCTAGAGTGGAGAATGACAGTTAACAGAAGCTGGGAAGGGGGGCTGGGGAAGATGAGAGAGGCTGGCTAATGGGTACAAACATACAGCTACACAGAGGGAATATCTAGTAGTTGATAATACTGCAGGTGAATTATAATTAATAATAGCATTGCATATTTCAAAATAGCTAGAAGGCTTATAATGTTCCCAACATTATAAGATAAATGGTTGGGGTGATGTGTATTCTAATGGTCCTGATTTTCTCTTTACATGTTGTATACATGCAATAAAAATATCACCTGAGGCTGGGCGTGGGGCTCATGCCTGTGATCCCAGCACTCTGGGAGGCGGAAGTGGAAGGAGTGCTTGAGGCTGGGAGTTTGAGACCAGCTTGGGCCACAGAGGGAGATCCTGTCCCAAAAGAAGAGAGGTCGGGGAGGGGCGGAGGGGAGGAGAAAGAGAATAAAAAACGAATTAAATTAAAAACAAACACATATACCCCCAATATATGTACAGCTATGATGTATCAATAAGAAAATACTCCAACAATGAGAAAAACCAAAGCGAAATGTAGGACGGTACACTTGAATAGTGACCAGGGACTGTGCGTCCTGAGCCCGTGGTGTTCAGGTCTCCTCCTCTCTTGGAATTCCGCAGTTGGCCAGCAGGTGGCGCTTGTGCTCCCCATGGCCGCGATCCGTGAAACTGGATTTAATATAGTAACCCGATGTTGTTCTGAACATATAATTTTCAAACCTTCCAGTCCACCACAAGGAAAACCTCCGAGGATTTTCTTCTGGGAAGAGCAATTAGCCTAACCTCTTAGGAGGAGAAATTGCATCTCTGAGCTTGTCTGGGAAAGTAACATACCCTCCCAAGAGCCGTCTTGGGGAGGGCAGAGAGAAACCGCGGAGCAGCCTGTGGGAAGAGGAAGGGGTGCTGAAGAAGGAAGGGCTGGGAACTGCAGCATAGGGTTTGGGGCTTGGGGTGGGAAATATCCTAGGTCTGAGAACAGCCTGAGCCTGTGGGCTTCCGGGCTTAGGCTGGAGGGTAACAGAGAGACCGAATGGGTGCAAGATTACTTAGGTGTGCTGAAGACGCTCCGCCCAGCCCAGGCCAGGCTGGGAGACCCCCTTCCTCGCCTACCTACTGTGGCTAAATGCCAGGCACTGGTGACACAGCCGTGACAAGACGGGCCTGGTCCCTGACCTACCGAGCCTGCAGCTCGAGGGGGGAATAGCAGCGACCGGGATCTAACGGGGTGGTTGAGGTGTGTTTGGGGTGGGAGTTGGGCAGCTTTCAGGGGTCTCCTCCAAGTCAAGGGGGACAGGCCACTGCCCAGACTCCAGACGCCCTGGGATGGGGAGACTAGACTGGAAGGAGCCATCGGAGTAGGGATAAGGTGAACCAGGGCAGGGGGAGAGAGCAGCTGCTGGGGGTCATGGGGCAAGAGCAGGGAGTTCCAAGATGGGGGATGCCCTTAGCCTGTGGGAGAGGAGAGTGGCACCCTGTGCTGTGGTCACAGATAAGGCTAGGAGGGGTGTGTCCTATTTTGAAGAAGAGGCCTTGCTTCGGCAAAGGCTATAATTGGGAAGAGAGAGAGAGAGAAAGAAGGGAGATAGAAAGGGAAGAGATAAAGAGAATTATTTGGTCGATACCCTCAGGAAGTGTCCTCAGTGGAAAGTGAAAACATGCCAGTGTACAAGTACACACACACACACACACACACACACACAGTTACCATAAGGATGTCAGCAACTAGAGCAAAAGGAAGCATCCAGCTGGCTAAGCCTATCTGACCTTGAGCAAATACTTAACCTCCCTAAGGTTTCTTCATCTGTAAACTGGGAGCAATACTAGTATTGGCCTCAGAGGGCTGTTAAGAAGATGAAGCACAGTAATGCTTGTGAAGCACGCAGTGTGGTCCCTGGCAGCAGTAAGGCCTCACGAATCATTGTTATTGTTGTTACTCATCATGATCATTAATATCAGTTGTGATCTACTGGAAAAGGAGGGATAAGAAAAGGTGGGATATGGATGGGCACAGCCAAGACCAGTGCACGGGATGGGGAAAGTAATCCAAGCTGGAGAAGAAATAACTTGTGGGAACAGAGGTGAAGAGGTAGAAGGGCGAGATTCTAAGTCCTTGCTACTCAAAGTGTGGGCTGAAGACTTACCAGCAGCAGCAGCACCTGGGCACTTGTTAGAAGTACAGCATCTCAGCCCCCGACCCAGGTCTATCCACTCAGAATCTGCATCTTTTCAAGCTGTTCAGGTGATTTGTTTGCATGGGGGAGTTTAAGAAGCACAGCTCGCAGCCATCTCAGCCATAACTCCTGGGAGTAAACCATGCTGGTGCCACAGATGGAGCAGCAGAGAGAAGGCTAGAGAGGGATGGGAACCAGTTGGTACATATCCCTGACATAGTTCCATATGCAAGTTACTGCCCAGGATTCAATATTTATCACCATTTTTTTCCCTTTGAGGTAAAATATATACGAAGAAATATGTATATGAACTGTACCTCTGAGTTTTAGCAAGTGCACATCTACCAATGTAAACTTGGACTACAGTCAAGATATAAAGCCTAATCAGCCACCCAGAAAGTTTCCTCATACCTCTTCCTAATCGATCCCTGCTCCGGTCCCTAGATGCAGCAGTTGTTTTGACTTATTTTCCGCAACATAAATTACTTTGCCAGTTTTAGAACTCCGTATCCATGGAATCATATGATAGGTACTCTTGCACAACCCTTCATTTATGCAGCAGAATGCTTTTAGACACAGCTGTGTCACTGTGTGTATCAGTCATCTGGCCCTTTGTATTGCTGTGTGGTATTCTGTTGTATAGGTGCATCACAGTTTGCTCATCCACTTCGCTGTTTCTGATTTTTGGTTATTGCAAATTAGGCTGCTAGGAAAATTCCTGTCTTTTTGTGAACACACATTTACATTTCTCTTGGATAAATACCTAGAAGTGGGATTGTTAGGTCACAGGGTAGGTTGTGTTTAGTTTTATAAGAAACCACCAGCCCTATTAGAGTGGCTGTGCTACTTCATGCTTTTTCCAACTGTATTAATGAGCTCAAGCTGCCATAACAAAATACCACAGGCAGGATGGCTCAAACAACAGACATCTACTTTCTCACAGTTCTGGAGGCAGGAAGCCCCAGGTCAGGGTACCAGGCTGAGGGCTTTCTTCCAGCCAAGAAGGTCGCTGCCATCTTGCTGTGTGCTTACATGACCTTTTTTTAGTGTATGAGTGCGGGGAGAGAGACAGAGACAGAGAGAGAGAGAGAGAGAGAGAGAGAGAGAGAGAGAGGAGGGAGAGGAGAGAGAGGGAGAGAGAGTGACAGAAAGAAAGAGCGTGCTCTTCAGTGCCTTTTCTTATAAGGACATTAATTCTGTTGAATCAAGGCCCCCAGCTTTTATGAATTTATTTAACCTTAATCTTAACCTTAATGGTCCTATCACCAAATACAGTCACACTGGAGGTTCCGACATCTGAGATCTGGAGGGACACAATCAGTCTGTAACACCGACAATGTGTGAAAGTTCCCGTTTTGTCAGGTATTTTAATTTTAGCCATTCCTGTGGGTGTACAGGATATTTCATTGTGGTTTTATTTTACAGTTCCCTGATGACTAATAATACTGATGATCTTATTTTTTCCATTTTAAAAATTGAGGCAATATACACATAACATAAAATTTACCAACTTAACCATTTTTTTTTTTTTAACAGGATCTCACTCTGTTGCCAAGGCTGGAGTGCAGTGGGACAATCCTGACTCACTGCAGCCTCGACCTCCAGGGCTCAAGCAATTCTCCTGCCCAGGCTCCCAAATAGCTGAGCGGCTGGGACACAGCTGCACACTACCACAATTTAATCTGGTAGACACAATTTATTGTGGCTAATTATTTTTATTTTTGTATATGCAGGGTCTCCCTGTGTTGCCCAGGCTGGTCTTGAACTCCCAGCTCAACTGATCCTCGTGCCTCAGCCTCTCAAAGTGTTGGGATCATAGGTTAAGTTGAGGCCATCATGCCCAGCCTCATGTTAACCATTTTAAGTGTACAGTTAGTGGTATTAAGGGCGTTCATAATGTCAGGCAACGAATCACCGCCATCTGTCTCTATGACGCTTTTTATCTCATAAAACAAACGCTGTATTTCCTAAACAGCAATTCCCCATACCTCTCTGTCCTAGCCCTGGAAACCAACATTCTACTTTCTGTCTCCATGGTTTTGACTACTATGGGTACTTCATGTAAGTGGACTCATACATCATTTGTCCTTCTGTGACTGGCCTATTTCACATAGCAAAATGTCCTCAAGGCTCATTCATGTTGTAGCATATGTCAGAGGGTTTTTTAAAGGCTAAATAATATTCGATTACATGTATCTACCACATTATGCTTCTCCATTCATTCATTGATGGACACTCAGGGAGCCTTCACATTTTAGCTATTGTGAATAATGATGCTATCAACATGGTGTACAAATATCTGAGACCTTCTTTCAATCCTTTTGGGTATATACCCAGAAATGAAGTTGCTGGATCATATACTAATTCTATTTTTAATTTTTTGAGAAACAGCAGATACATCATTTTGCATTCCCACCAACATTGCACAAAGGTTCCAATCTCTCCACATTTTCAGCAACACTTATTTTCTGTTTTTTTAATAGTGACCATCCTAATGTGTGTGAGTGGTATCTCATTATGGTTTTCATTTGCATGTCCCTAATTAGTGTGTTCATCTGTTGTTGCATTGCTATAAAGGAATCCCTGAGCCTGGGCAATATGTAAAGGAAAGCGGTTTAATTGGCTCACTGTTCTGCAGGCTCACTGTTGTTCAGGAAGCATGGCACTGGCATCTGCTCAGCTTCTAGTGAGGCCTCAGGAAGCTTTCAACCATGGTGGAAGGTAACGGGGCAGGAGGCATGTTACATGGTGAAAGTGGAGTGAGAGAGAGAGGGTGGAGGTGTCACACACTTTCAAACAACCAGCTATCTCATGAACTCAGAGCGAGAACTCACTTATCACCAAGGAGACGGCACTAAGCCACTTAGGCGGGATCTGCCCCCACCCAGTGGTGCGACCTCCCACCAGGCCCACCTCCAGCACTGGGGATTACATTTCCACATGTGATTTGGAGGAAACAGACATCCAAGCCATATTATTCCACCCCTGGCCCCCTAAATATCATGTCCTCTCACATTGCAAAATACAGTCATTCCCTGCCAGTAGTCTCCAAAAGTCTTAACTCATTCCAGCTTCAAGTCCAAAGTCCTTTCTCATCTGAGTCTCATCTCCTTCCATCTCTCTGCCCATACAATCAAATCAAGTTATTTACTCCCAAGATAAAATGGCAGTACAGGCATTGGGTAAACATTGTCATTCCAAAAG